ATCCGCTACAACTTGTTTTTAGCCATTTTAAAATACAAGGATTTATAAGGAATTTGCAGGATTTGGATTAATTCCCACTAACACTTGTAGGTTTTCCGGGCCTATTAAAAAGGGGGAAAAAAATTATTTTCATCCTTAAACACAAAAACAAATCAGTTCATAAATGAAAAGCAAACAGTGCTTTGTGACATTACTGTGGTTACAAATCCTGACTATGACTTTGCTTTTCAATATTCTCTTCAGCTGAATTTTTTTAATCAATTACTTCTAACATTTTATTGACTAAATGCTCGTCTTCACCTCGTGGCACCCACATTTTGAAAAGGAACAGAAAGTAAAGTGAACTAAAAACTAAATTTAAAACTGAATAGACAAATAAAAATAGACTGACTCGGTGGTGAAGAGATCACACCGCCCTGCTCCTACTCATTAAATGAAATGAATCCACAGATATGTTAATAAACCATAAATCAAACAGACTCTGAAGCACTAACTCTTTAATGATAAAGGACCTGAAATTATCAACTAAATCTCCAAGCACTCTTCAGCTAATTAACAGGAAGTGTTTTTTTATTTGAAGCTTTAAATGATCCAAATCGCCACTAAAACCAAACCTAACAATTAGCTGCATTATGCAACTCAACCACGAACAGACAGGTCAAAGATTCAGCTGATGCTTCGAGAAGCTACGCAGGCTTCCCTCGGTTCACTCATACAAACAGATATTCTTAAAGGAAAGCCGCCAGAGAAACACAGAATTAAACATCTTCAGCCACTATAAGAACAATGGACCCCTCTAAAGATGGCACGGTGCCCGCAGAGATCCCATCTCACCATTACTGAGACAGTCTGAGGTTACACACTTGATGCACCAGCTGATGATGGCTCCTTATTGGTTTGTTTAGTGGGCTGTTGTGTATCACATGACATAGTGGATGTCTCATGTTCAAGTGACAGTGCCCTCTATTAGAGCCGTGGTCCACAAAGTCTACAGAGGCAGGAGGTTGGGGTGGATGAATGGGTCAGGTGCTCACTGGGAGATGATGAACTGCACATTGGGACACTGCAGGGCTGCGGTCACATAAGACATGCTCATGAGCCAGAATACCATCAGGAACGTTTTCTTTTACACCACTTGAACTTTAATTTTATTTTTTTCACTGGACTTTTATTTTTGGTCTTACTTTTGGTTTGGGTTTCAGAAAAAAATGAGAAATGATCTTTCACAGAGCTACAAAGTCTGTTGTGCAGGTGGTGGTGGTGATGCACGTCACATGAATATCAGCAATGAGAAAATGATCAACTTTTACTGTTTTCTTTTTGTTTGTTTGCTGTTATGTTTAGGCACTAAAAACTGTTTTTCATGGAGAGGAATCTGGATTTTTGTCCCTCAAAATCTAGACTCAAGCATGAAAAGACCAAAAAAGGCTTAAAATTGACTTTTTAACCATAATGAAAATGATATTTTAAATAGTGAACATCAGGTGGGGTTAAACAAAAAAGAATTCAAACACTCAGGAAAGTCTTTAGTGAGGTCACGGATCCAAGCAGCCGAGAGCCATTTTTAATTTAACTTCTACTACCAGACATCTTTTGGTTGTTTAATAAAACTCAAGTTTAGACAGTTTAATTATTTTAATTTATTTAATTACTTGTATTTCAATATAAGTTAATAATAATAGGATTTGGTAATCTGGGAATAACCTGGTGAAAACTGCTCATTTAAAAAAAATAATTATAACTACAGCCTTTTCCAAAACAAATTTATTACTTACCCCAATGAGGGTTTTTTGTTTGTTTGTTTTTTTGTTTTTTGAAAACCAAACCTTTAAAGAAAGAAGCAAGGGAGTTTTTTAAATTCCATATCCTTCCTCCAGCATGCTCTTTTGGGTTGAATCAGATGGTGGGCGCGGCTGTTTAAATGGCAGCACGACTGCTACCTCACAACAAGAGGTTCCCAGGTTCAAACCCTTCAAAGTAAAACCCTTCTATGTGGAGTCTGCACGTTCTCCTGTGCTTGTGCAGGTTTGACCTTGGAACTCCGGTTACGCCTGCACGCTAAATTAATGCAGCCCACAAGAAGATTCTTAATCACAGGAGTTTAACTTCCTGTTTAAGATAAAGGTTAATAACACTGGAGATCATGTCACACTCACCTATTTCTTATGCTTGAACCTATGGCTGTCACAATATCTGATTAGTCTGGTCAAAAAAATATTCTCAATAAGACAAGAAATACCTTTTTTTTTTTCCACATTCAAGATATTCTACTCAAGAGAATATTTTTAAAGGTCCCTTAAATCCATGTATAACTTAATTTATTGGCTTTTTTCACAAATTAAAAATTAAAGGTCCATGATGGTGATGACAGTATGCAGCTATAACTGTGCAGAAACATACGAAATGGACTATTATAAAAATATTTATCATCTATGCAGTAATGTCATTATCATAATTTATCATCCCTGACAGTTACCATGACGCCCCCGACCACACCAAACTGACTCATCTGAGAGAAATAGAACCAAACAGTTTATTATTTTTCTAATTCAATCCAAACATCTCCTTGAAGAACCCCTGAAAATATTTTAAATTATTCAGAATAATTTGCTCTGCTCATCCAAAAAAAGTTCATTCTGTATTTTTGAATGGAATAAAAAATTAAGCACGTGTCAGTATGAAAAAACCCTCATATGATAGTTTATGCATTTCTGCTTGTGCAGATGGAGGTGGCTCGGAGCTTCTCTCCATCTCTGCACTGGACTTCACTCTCAGCCGATCTCTGTAAATTTCTTTACTTCACTGACGGCACACAGATGATTTCATACAAACAAAATCCAACATGAACACGTACACTGGCACATTTCTATCCCTAAAGAAATGATCCACAAGAATGCACCTCCAACGGTCTAATTGCTGCACCTCATCATAATTATAAGCAGCTTTCTTAGTGCAGATGATGTGGTATCAGGAGACTAATAGAAATAAAGATAACTTATGTTAAAAATTAATTTTAGTCTTAGATTTTCAGCAGTCCGTGGGTGCAGATGTTCGCACTGTCGCCTCACCGGGTTTGACCTCAACTGTGAGCCATTCAGAGCTTTGAGTCTTCGGTAACACTCCATTTCTGGTCATTAATGAATCATAATAAACTCAAAATCATTTAGTTGGTCCCAGTTTTGCATTTTTTTATGACTGATCACAGAAACATCACAACAAAGAAGAAACGAAATACCCCCTGTTGATGCTATTTTTTATGCCTTTATTGATACAAATAATCTGACTGAGACTCAGCGTCTCATTTACATGAGACAATTTGGCAGTTGTCCTACTTAAGGCGCAGGTGTAGAGTTGAAGAGAGACGTGAATTTCTGTATTTAGACAACATGACAAACTATTTAGAAAGCTGCTAAACTCAGTGTGTAACAATGCTGCTGATACAGGAGGGTCTTTTCTATACAACAATGAAGAAAATGTAAAAATAATATTATTTGATATAAAATACAAGTTTGGATCTCATTCGAGTGTTTTAGGAACTTAATTTTTACAGACACACACACACACACACATACAGTGCTGTGACCTCCGTCATGCACACAATGTGATAACCACAGAGGAGCCAGAAGAAAGGAGGAGGATGTTTCATATTAACACATTTTTTCTTCAGAAAGTTTGAAAATGAGTAGGTTGTAAGCCACTTTGTCCCCGTTTAGAAGAGTTGGTCTAAGCTTGAGAACTAACCCTGAGCAAATATGGTCTCATCTTCTAGATTTCAGTGAGATAGTCATTCTTTTTCCATCTCAGAATACCGATATGTGTGACTCGTTTTGTTTTGAACATGTTTAAAAGTCAACAATATTTGAAATTAAAATAATAGGACTTCTCATTAAAAGTGAACAGATGTAGATTAAGACAGCTTCCGACAAAAGACACAAAAACAGGCTAAAGTCTGGATCCGGGCAACACAGAAGAATAAGTCATAAACAGAAAAATATATCAGACATGTTATAAAGTCATAACTGCCAAAAAGAGAAATCATAGAAACTTCAAACCGATTGCATCGATCAGGCTTCAGGCAGAAAACACAGAGAGGATTAAAGCGGCGCAAATAAAGGATTACAAGAATTAAACAATAAGACAGTAACAAGCTGGAGCAATGAGCCCAAGTGTGTTTGAATCACTGAGCCAATCAGTGAGTGAGTCAACACTGTGACTCTTCATCCCAACAACAAACATGCTCGTCTTCCACGACCTTTATCAGTGCAGACTGGTGAGGGAATCATCATAAAATTATTCTCAGTGCAATTACTTTTTTATTTGGATTATTAATACCAAGTTTGAAGACAAGTGGTTGTGGATTTTTATTTTATTTTTATTCATTTATTGAAAGAAATTGTGGGTAGGTGGTGGACTGATCACAGCTCAACTTTTAAAGACCAGAAAATTTAGAAACCACATTCTGAGGTTTTTGAGTCAATCTGCTCAGATTTGGACACTTTTAGGTCAAATAAATAAAATGTTTCAACATTTATTCACAGAATATCATTTATGCCATAACTTTGCATTAAATTACAGATTCTTGATTTTTTTTTAATGATGATTTATCTTTTATTAAAAAGAATAATTTTGTGGCCAAGGGTTAAATCTATGAATATCAGTAAATCAGAGAAGTTATTAATGTAGTCATTCTGACTATATTTTATTCTAAATTTAATTTAATCAATATAAAAACATTTTTAATCTCTTTATTTGAATAAATTATTTATATTTCTTACTTTTATAAAAGTACAACCAGCTTCTTTGATGCTTTGTATATTTTATTAGGTATAATGGATTGTTTATAGCTCTAATGTCAAAGGTTTGGGGATTTTTTTCAGTTTACCGAGTTGATACTTAGGGTCTTGCATAAATAAATAAATAATCCTCAAATATTTTTGTTGTGTCTTTCTTCTCGCCGTTCGCTGTTCAGGCACCATGAGCGCATTTTGATGGAAATACTGGAGATTTTCTTTCTGCGGTAAACAGGAAGCGGATCAGTGGCTCTAACATGTGTAAATGCGTCGCTTCTTTC